TCACCACACTATGTTATTGTAGTGCTTTTTGATGCTGTATTTAAAAAAAAAAAATGCCCCGAGGGAAGTGGTGGCTTAATGATAGGTGCTTGGATGAATATTTTCTATCCCATTGTTTCTGCCTGGTGTCCATACTGGGGTATTCAGACAGATCAGTGCGGTACAGAAGACACATTTCACACCGTCTGTCTGTAAACCAACCTTCTTTTGTGGTTCAGCTCTGAAGAGCGATGTCACACAGGCTGAAAAATCCTACTTCTGCTGTCGTCTAGTGGTTGAAATGTTCACTTCACTGCATGTGCCGTCCAAAGTACAGCTTAGCTCTAAATAGTTGTAGGGGTGAGACAAAAATCAATAAACACAACAAAAAAAACCTGAAGGAAATCATTAAGACTTTCTCACCAATAGAATCACATAAAAGAAATCATAATTCTATGGATTTGTCCTTATTGAAGGTTTTTCTTATGCTCAGCTTCACTCTCCAGAAAACCCTTGATTTAATACATTAATTAGATCTCTACAATGATAATAAGCAGAACAAGTAGAACAATTTAGAAGCTGAGAACCAGAAAATAGATCATTTGGCCTGCCTGGTTATTAAAATTGTTCAGAATTGTTGATTCATTTACTGGTTAATGACTCATCAGTTTAGAATCTAACTCACCCTCACCCCTACATTATAGTCGAGTATAATGTAACTGCTGGGAGTGGTCACAGATCTGACAGACTACACGCAGCAGTGATGCTGACTGTAGTCATGAGGGGAACATGGCTGATATTCCCAGCTCCACACAGATCACTGCACTAATGCTTTTCTGCCATAACAGATTAACTGTAATATTACAATAAGAAAAATAATAAAGGTTCAGGGCTAAATGATCATTGAAGGAGATGATGTTCTTGTCTTGATTGCGACGTGCAGTCTGACTTTTCAAATTATTTTATGTCCCAAGGCGATGATATTAAAAAAAGGTTCGTGTCACTGTTTATGTTCAAATTTGATAGAAAAGACACACCTCAGGCTTTCACTGGAATTAGAGTGCAGACAAACTTTTATTCTAACTATGCCTGGAGACACCTCAGAGGTGTTTTCACATGAATGGGCTGCAGCGTTTCTACTTCCAAACACCTTTTGAAGTTCATTCTGCACAAACATGTCCCCCCCAGAGGGGTCTTCAGATGTCAAAGAAACGGGGTCTCATTCATTTTTATTTACTGCGGCTACAGAGCAGCAGGCAGATATTGATGAGCGCTATTTGTATTGTGCCCTCGTTTCTCCCAAGGGACCTCTGGAGTGGTCTCCACAGTGAGTTCGATTACCCACAGAGACAAGGCTTGTCTGATGACAGGCTGACCACCACGGAGATGCACAAGTGACAGGCCCACATTATACACTGTAGACACCTTTTTCTGCCAGCAAAAAAAAGGATATTTTACATTCCCTGCCTCTATCCCCATTCTTGCTGTGTTAATGTAAGCACATGGATGTGATTTCCAGGACACAGTCAAGCACTACAAGTAAACACATCCTTCACTGGCAGCAGGATATTATCATCTATCATTAAAGCAGTCAGCAGAACCATTTGCATCAGGCTGAGCAACAGAGCAGGCCAGGCTCCAGCGGTGCAGGCCATGCAGAACGAACGATGCAGATGAGGTTCGAGGAGATGACATTCAGACGACAGCAACTCAACAGGACGCATCTGACACTGGTGAGCTGCCTGTTTCTGTTTATTTCTCTCTCTCTTTTAAATAAATGGCAGAAATGAGTGAAAAATGTCCATTACAATTTCCTCAAGGCCAAGTTGGCACCTTGTTGCTTTTTTCTTTGTCTGACCAACAGTTCAAAACCTAGTGACAATCAATTTAAAGTGATCTAAAACAGGAAATATTAAAGCTGCATTAACTAGGATTTAGCACAAAGTCAGATAAATCAAGTAAACAATTATTATTGCTTGAGTTTGTTTTGACTCATTCACTCTCTAATGTTTGAGAGTTAGAGGGCAAACGTCAGTTGGACCCGCTCTAAATCCTCACAGCCGAGAAGCTGAAACCATGTAATATTTGGCATATAGTGCCGTGCACGCAGCTCTGTGGATGTCAGTGCCGCTCCGTCTGTCCAGTGGTTCACCACTGTAGTTCAGGGTCCACAACTATGAGGTGGACTACCATGACATTATGTACATATTGTACTGTACATTTTGAATTCATGGTTCCCAGAGGCGGAGCCCCAATGGCTCTGCTGATCCCCTCACTTTAGTGCCGCTGACCTCTGTAGGTCAGAGTGAAGTCTCTTACTAGATCTGGCCTGGAGCCCAAAGACTCTGGTCCCAGTCCAAACTGTAAAGCAGTTTAATGCAGACCTCTACCAAAATTTCAGTGCAGCCTGACCCAGGTCGCTTGTGAGTGACCCACTGCTATCACACTGCTTCGCCTATCATTGTCTAGGCTAGCTGCAGCATTTAACAAGCTTGCTTGCAGAGGATTTGTTGGTTTTGCTTGATAATATTGTATGGTCTTGACCTTTCTAAGTAAAATGCCTTGAGATGATTTTAGTGGTGATTTGGTGCTATACAAACAAACTTGAATCAAACTGAACTGACCAAGCTCTTGGTCAGATTTAGGAGCCCTGCTGGTTGAAAAAGTGAAATGGCATGTTTATAACTAGCCATGCAAAGAAGAAAGGTTAAAAGTAAAAACTTGCATTCATGGAAGATTAGACTGAGAAGTACTTGTATATGATCTCAGTAGTTCTAAAATCCATTTCTGAATGTACTATCAGTTGTTCCATCTGTGCTGGTTTAATTTCAGCCACACAACATGAACATCTGCTGTAGCTGTGATGAAATACTGAATCCCCTGGGCTTTGAAGAATCTTTAATAATTCACTAAAGTGGGCAAGAACTACAGAACAACTCCCATATCAATAGCTGTAAATCCTGCATTTCCATTTTAACAGTGCTGGTTATTAATATAGACATGTTGTTTTCACTGGTGCTTCAGTTTCTGTGTCTCTATCGTCATTATAATAAAACATGATTGCACCATAGAACAACATTTGCTTCAGCTGTTAGTGACTGGAAGCATATTTTTTTAGTCAGAACAGTTGCAAACAAACCTCATGGCTCAGTATTAATCTGCATTATAGAAAATAACAGAAAACAGAGAAAAACCACACCTACAAAGGCCCCTTGAGAAGGTGGCTGGTGACTTGATCTATACTGTACACACAATATAAAAGGGGTCAGTCTGCATTGAGGGTACTACAGCTACACTTTGTTAAAGATTTTTAGTACAGGACTTATTGGCAACAGGGTAAAGTTACATAAATGAGATGCAGACTTCTTCCATCACTGATAACTGACAATGTACATGTGATACAAAACTATAAGATAATTAAAAAAAAACTCATATGTGAGCAAAATATGCCACTCTGAGTTTATTTACCTGAGACAAAAACCTGTCCTAAATAAAACAATCCTACCATATGTATTTCTTGTAAACAAATTTAGATTTGGTATGGTCTAAAACAACTATAAAATAAATATATGATGTGTTACATGTCAGTTTTGTAACATCTGACTTGTACAAACTCAACAACAGTCTTGAGCTTTAACCCTTTAGACCATATGAACAGTTTGGACCCTGGTCTAAATGGACCTGTTTTTTAGAATCTCTTGTTTATACGACACGTGAGGAGTCTCTGTCAGGGCCACTCAGCGGCCGCTGCCTCTCCTCCGTTTTTCTCTCCTTTACCCTCTTTATCCTGTGGGCTCTGCACCTCAGCTGTGTTGCATTCCAGTAATTAGTAACTGGTTTGTCTACGCATAACTGCTTTAGTAACTACCAGCAAACTACTGCAAAATATAGTTGAGCTGTTACAAGTAGTTCGCTTCTCCCCAACACTGGCAAAAACAGAGGAAAATCATGTCGGTCATCTGAAGCCCACTAGGAGACCTCAGCTGATACACTCTAGGCTATAGTGAAAGAAGTCATTCTTCCTCAGTGAGTGGCAGAATGGCTGTGTCACCTCTGTGGTGTAACAGCCTCAACTGTCTGCAGTGATTGATAGTGCGGACACTGAGGCAGAAGACTGCGAGCCATGAAGCTTTGGATTCAATTTGCACTCAACATTTCACCAGTGAAATAACTAATATTTGTGTCCAGATCATTAATAGAGACAGTGAGGCATCATAACTCAGATGTCACCTTTCAGTGCTTTCTTTTAACTGATGGTGAACTAGAGAGAAACAATATTTAAGGATAACTGTTCATATTCTATCATTTTCTTATTGTCAACAAAGCCCATGAAATGATCAAAACCACTAATAAGAAGCAAGGCTGGCTTACCAAGCAGGCTACTGCTCAGGGGCCCCAGACTTCAAATTATTTTTGTCTAATTGATTAATTACTAATGGGTCAGAAATTTGTGTTTTGTCAAATTGCTTCTTTTTTGCATCAGGTAACAGAGAAAATCTCAGGAAGGTTGTATTATTCATTGGGGTGTGATGATACACTCACAAGATAATGCACAATATTGGGTTCACGAGAGCAAGAAGAGACGATGTTTTAACACCATATTTAAGAAATCTTCAATGATATTTGACTGGAAAATGGTCTTTTATTTGACCGAAAGTCACAAAATGCAAAACACTGCAGATGCATTTTAAAATGTTTACCTAATCATCTTGTAATTAATGTCACTTCAGTTCTATTTGCTGAGTATGAACGATCACGTGCAGCAAAAGAGACAATACGTGAGCACTGTAAAAGATTTTGCCACAAACTCAACTGACTGGCTCCTCTCCTGTATGATCTCAGTCTCTTCCGACCTTATAACTGTGCACGAGCTTCTAACTGAAGCTGTGTGTGACCTTCTATGCTAGTTTGATCTGCACTGCACTGGACTGGACAGTGACATCATCCGGCAAAGGCGCTGCGTTGACCAATCATGTAC